GAATGGAAAATTAAGCTAACCTAATTGGTTATAATTATTGATCAACTTCACAATCTGGTTCAATTTAGCTTGTATCGGTCTAACTTGTAAATTTAAGTCACAGTAATCCAATCCAATCTGACTTGAATAATCTATCAGTTCAGTCCAGTCTAACTTGAGATTTTATCAATCTGACTTGACTTTGATCTTAAGTTGGATCAAACTGGACTTTTAACAACACTAATAAAAAGTGACTGACCATCTAAAAATTAAATAAACTCAGATATTTTTAACAATAATTTTACATTTACTTTAAAGTTAAAATATAAAAAACTATTTTAAAATATTTTTTCACTTAATTAATAATAAAATTATGTATAAATATTTAATTTTAAAAACAAAAAAATTTTCGTCTTCTTAACCAGAATAGTTACAGTAAAATAAATACCAAAAATCAATTCTTTAACTTAAGAATAACTTATGTTTTAAAAATTAAAAAGATTAAATTAGTAATTATTGAGAAATCTACTTTTAAAAATCATTAAAATTTGGTTTACATATGAAATTTGCAAAATTTTATGGTTTTTAAAAGCAAATTTCTTATTCTGATTTTTAAAATATAAGCTATAGTCTAATCTCAATATACCAAACTCGTGGTTCAAGAGTAAAAATTTGGTATATAGAGGTAGTTTGGTATATCAAATTTTCTTTATATACTGAATACTATAAATAACAGATAAGTAAAAAACAGGTCAGTATATTAAAAATCATGTGATTTCTCTTATGTATTTTAATATAAAATTTATTATTGTAAAAAATAAATATTTAAAAATTCAATTTTTTATAAAAATGTTCAAAAAAAATTATAAAAATTATAGTACTACTACTAATACTATTAGAAAAACTATTTGCTACATATGTACAGTACATTGTACAATATCCATTAAGTATCTAACCAATCATCTAATACTAATTGAACTTTTAAATCTTTTTTCTATTTCTTCTTGCAGGATTTTCTTTATGAAGCAAGCATAAATCTTTCTTTTCTTCAAATGTTAAAATCTTTCTTTTTTTTTAATATTGCTTATTTATATTTTTTCTTTTTTTGATTCATAACAGATAACAGTAAAAAAATGATTATCTGATTATATTATTTATAATTACTAATTATATTTTATAATAAATGGTAGATTAATATATGTTCAGTATATGCTATATCAAATTTCATATGAAGTTTGATATATTGAGATTTTTTTAAAACTGGATTTTTAAAAAAAGTTCAGTATATCAAGAGTTCGTTATTTTGTGGATTCGTTATATCGAAATTAAACTGTATTCTTAAGTCAAAAAATTGATTTTTGATATTTATTTTACTGATTAAAAAGGCAAAAAATTATTTGTCTTTAAAATTAAATATTTATGTATAATTTTACTAAAAAAAAAATGTCTCAAAATAATTTTTTATTAAAAAATCAAGTTTTAGGTGATCAATCATTTTTTGTAACCTATTGTACAATTCAATTAGTATTTTTGATATCAATAATTATTTAATTTGCATTATATTTATCATTATCCTCTTCTTTAATGTCACAATTATGCTTTATCTCTTATGAATTAACTATAAAAGGATTTAGTTTTAGTTATTTATAAATGTATGTTGAGAAAATATTGTAGACTGATATTTTTATTTTTTTAATATTATTCTATCTAGTATATAATAGTATCCAGTTAAAGGTTTTTCTTTTTAAGAAAATTATAAATTAGTTTAGTATAACTAATTCTAAAGTCAGCAATTGTACTTTTAACTGGATTTACTTTTTCTTTTATTAAATATATTTTTAATTATACTTTCTTGATTTCTTTAGCTAGATTTTCTATCATATTTAGTATTATACTTTAGATTTTATAATTTATCACACCCTATAATGTATTGCGTCCCATATCATGTAATAATGTTAATTTTTTTTATACTGTTAATATTTGATATATATAAATATAATAATTATAACTTTTAAATAAACAAATATGTTCAGTTAGTTCAGTTTGCAAAATGCTAGATAATTTTATATTTTTTATCTTAAAAATACAGGTTCGATTCCTGCACTGGACTTTTTTTCTTTTTTTCTTTAAATTTATATCATTGGTGATTAAAAACATCAATATGTCATCCTATGTGATTAATCAGCATGTGTTTATATGTAATGCATATTAATATCTGAACACATTGTATTTGTATTATATTATTTCAGATTTCTCTGATTTGTAACTTCATATGAATGCATCTCTTTTTTATCCTTATCTAAAGTCCTTGCCTTTTCTTTATAACATGTTTTCTTCTTTTTTTTACTTTTACTTTCTTTTTTGCTTCATTTCTTAATTATTTTCTGTTTTTGAGCCAGTTCTTAACAACAACATAAATAATAATATTGAGTCAAGTACTTCTAGTTCTGCAATTGTACTTGAAGAAATAATATTTACAAGTTGGGATTTATATGATTCTTTTTTGAAAAGTTGAAGTAAAAACAAGAGATTTAATATAATAAAAGAAAAAGTCACTAAAAAGGGAAGCTTTATTAGAAAAAGGACCTATATCTGTGAACATAAAAAAAAATACATTTCAAAATTTAATAAAGATATTAGCACTAAGAAGGTATCATATTCATAGCACTTAAATATATCTTGTCCTAAGGCAGATTCCTTAATTTATATTACTATAATTGTTATTATGTAAATAAGCATAATCATAAGTTAAATGTAGAAGTCGTTACATTTAAAGAAAAAAAAAATTTACAAACAAAATGATAGAGAATATGCAATTCCTAATAAATAACTGTAAGATGGAAACTACCACTTAAAGAAAGTACTTAAAGGCCAAATATTCTTTTTATCTAATATATAGCAAAAAATTGTATACAGCAATTCAAAACTTTCAGCCTACAAAAAAATCTTTTGCAAATGATGTTATAAAGATGTCCAATTGGCTGGATGAACAAAAAAAAAAAGACTCTAGATGGATGGTAATGAGAGGATAGAACAATGATAACATATTAACCTATTTAATATGGATGACATCAGGATAAGTAGAAGATTAGATTTAATTTAGTAATTGTGTTATCAATGATATTACTTATAAAATAAATCATTATGGAATGACCTTATTACTCTTTGTAAGTTTCAATAGAAACATGCAAAGTATTCTTTTCGCTCAAGTCTTACTCATTGATGAAAATAAGGATTCTTATCACTGGTTGTTTAAACAGATCCTTAAAACTACTGGCATTCACCTGACTGTAATTTTAACAGATTCTAATCCAGCTGTGGATGCTGCAGTAAAAGAAGTATTCATAAACACTTATCTGATCTATTATCCAAAATCTTCATAAAAACCTTTGAAAATCTCTTAGAGACTAATATAAAAAGTTTATTCAAGACTTTTATTACTGCAGAAATAGTCTTGTTTAGTTAATATTTTCAAATCAGTTTGCAAAGTTAATGAAGAATTATCCATAAAGTAGAAGTTATCTTAAAGAGTTATATGAATTAAAAGAGTATTGGATACACTCATACACAAGTTTTAGGTTCACAGAAGGTATGATTGTTTCATCAAGAGTTGAATTCAAAAGGATGCTATTTAATTTAGATGTTTTACTTTTTGAACTTATGAGTGAAATTCATAAACTGTTTAATGAGTAAGACAAAAAAAATAAATATCAGTATTAAAAAGCAAACTTTTTGTTTACAGAAGTAAATAAATGCTATCAAAACTTTTTCACGCCTGCTGTTTTAGAGTTACAAAGAGACAAAATCAATCAATCACTTTATTATACTGCAAATTTAATTGAACAATAAAATACAATAATTAAAGAATCATATAATAAAGAATATGCTAAAAATTCTCAAGTAACCATAAATCAGTTATTAAAAATTAGTAGCTATGATAATATTAAGAAAATATAAGAAATTATGGTTAAAAATATATTGAAAGTTAAATATTATATTATTCTTCTAAAAAATGAGGCTCACTTACATATAGAGGATGTATACGTAATTTATAGAATATATTCGTCATTTAATACTTAATACAATAAATGTATTTAACTTATCAAAAAAAAAATATATAGAAGAAGTCAAATTTTATATTAGACTAATTCTATTCTGATGATATCAAAAAGGCAAGGATCTATTATATAAATAATTTATTATTGTAGATAAATTTAGCAACATGATCAAAACTACAGATAATATTGTCAATAATTACCTATATCTTATTGATAAAGAAAAGGAAGATTTTCTTAAAGAACGAATGAATCTTCTTAATAAAAAACTTATGTATAGTAATCTTCATAGAATGTATAAGAAAGCTTTAATAAAAGAAATCAAAATCATTATATCTAATTGAAATCCTAGAAGATTTCACTAATTTTGATAGTAGTAAAGATGAAGATGAATTGGATAAAGTATTAGGTAAAAATTCTGATGATAGTGATAAAGAAAATACAGAGGTATTCTAATTACAAAATCCAAAAGTAAAATGCAGTAAAGGAAGACGATTGGTATAAGAAGATATAAATTATTATATGAAAAGAAAGGGGATAAAGCAAAATAATAATAATGTTGTAAAAAATGTAAAAATCTGGAATATTATCAAAAGAATTGTAATATTTAATAAAGGGTTATATTGCAAAATGCACTTATTTTAGCAAATTAATAAAGAAATTTTTGGATTAAAATATACAGTAATAGGTCTAAGATATAAAATGTCAAATAACTTTTTATTTGCAAATATTAGAGATACAAAATAACTACTATCTAATATATTTTGATAAGACATTTAAAAGGTTTGTTTTCATCTTTATATGATTACTGGATGGTAAGTTAGCTATACTTAATTTCTTTATCAGTTTTATCACATTCTTTGCAAATTATTAATCATGTGCTATTATTTATTGTAGAATTAAAATGCATATATATATTGTATTTGTGATTAAATTACTGGACATAAATCTAAAAAAAAAGAAAAAAGTTCAGTACAGGAATCAAACCTGCATTTCTAAAATAAAAAATATAAAATTATCTAGTGTTCTGCCAACTGAACTAACTGAGTACATTTGTTTATTTAAAAGTTATAATTGTTATATATATCAAATATTCACAGTATAAAAAAAATAAACTTTATTACGTAACATGGGATGCGATGCATTACAAGCATGATAAATTATAAAATTCTTATACTTTTTATATTAATATAATCATAACTGTACAAGTATATAGTTAATAAAGTTTAAAGAATTATTTAGCAAAAAGCAAAAATAAACTTACCATTTACAAATTTCTTATTAATTTTAGATATTGCTGTAAAGAAGTAAATATAATTAATATAAAAAATTTGAAATACTAGGATAATACTGAAATAGAATGCTTAGTTGATTTAGTTGATATAAGTAGATTATAAGATAAGTAATAATAAGTAGATTCTAAAATTTGAAATTAAATATACTATTCAGTTTTAAATCCAATTTTTAACAATCAGTTTAAACAGAATTCATATTACAAAAATTAGTTTATATTTAAAGTAAGTATAACTAAGTATTCTAATATTAAAAATAAAATTAGCCAGATAAATAAATCCAAATTACTTCTGAATAAATTTCTTATACTAAGCTTAAAACTAAAATAAAATTGCTTAAATATTCTATTAAAATACTAAAAAGAAGGATGAATTTAGCCTAAAAAACTTTATTTTTTAATAAAATTATGACTTTTTCTCTTAAGATGAATTGAAAGATGAAATAAAATATCTAAAACTAAAATATGTATTCTATAGTAGAATTTAAACATTTTTATTAAAGGGTATATTAAGTAAGATTTACGTAAATATTAAATCTATCTAATTAAAAAAATTTGTAACGTTTAGATTAACTGTATAAATAAATACTTTAAAGTTGTATAACCTAATCACATTACATTATACAACATCCAAAAAAGAAAATTTTATTTCCTACAAAAATTGGATCAAATGGTAGTACAAGATTATACAAAATTCCAAAAAAGAAAATTAATATGCATACACATAATTCTAGTCAGAATTAAAAATTATTAAAATTTAAAATCCATTACAAAGCAACGGGCAGCAAACTAGTTTTAATTAAATTAATAATAGTTATTAATATACTTAAAACATTATTAAATTAATTTTAAGGAGATTTTTAGTATCCATTTTGTATGTTTTAAAATATTTATTAAATATAAATATAAAAATTAAGTATAATTTCATTATAATTTAGTATAACTTACTATTAAAATTTAATTATAAATATATCAGTTTATACATTTTTCAGTATACTTTAAATATATTATCATAATATAAGGATATTTTAACCATAAAACAAGTATATTTTAAGAATATATATTTTTTATAAAGTATTATTTTAATTTAATACTTTTAAATCTTCTTGCTTATCTGATTTCTCTAGTAGTTCTTCTATTATATTTGAATTAAAATACTGAATAGTATATAATATATAATAATTTTAACAATTTTAACAAAGAAAATTTAATTATATGCATTTTATTTGTAATAAGTTAATAAAACATGTATAAATTACATAATAATTATCTCTAAAATATAAATAATTATTGTTTAGTAACAGATATTTTAAAGCAAATGTGAATAATTAATACCAGCTAGTTATATCACAAACCTAAAAAATGACTAATATATTTATTAAGTTTAATTTTTCTTCTATTAAAGATAAGGGGGTAAAATTTATAAAAATTTTTAAGTATTAAAATAATTAATTCATTTAAAAAATATCATTTAATAAATAAGTGATTATATTATTTTTGTCTTTAGGTTTTCTACCCCTTTTATTTATTTGATTTTCTCAATGAGATGAAAAAGATTCAGATATTGGATGCAGTGATGGATGTGATGATGAATGTAACGATTGATATGGTGATTGATATAATGATTAATGCAATAACAGAGAAAGTTCACAAGATACTGAATCTTATACCAAAATTTGTGGTGCTAGAATTTGTGATGTATTTTTTTTCAAATAATAATCTAAAAATAAAAATAAAAATAAATAATAATAAATAGTTAAATATTTATAATATTGTAATTCACGTTTTCTTTGATGATTATATCTTTAATTGCCCAGTCTTCTGCTGTTAAAGAAAAATCTAATACTTTTTTTTTAAACTATAATAAAAGTTAATTGTTAGTAAATTTTTTAAAATAAAAAAAAATAATTTAAATAATTTGATATTTACAGTATGAATAATCTGTGATGTAATTATATATTTTTGAATTCTGTAACTAGAATTAAAATCTACATTTCTTTTATAAAGATATTCTCTCATTATTTTCTATTATAAAAAAATGCTAAATGAAAATAAATTTATTTTTGTTAAAGAAAAGTAATAAAAATTACCAAATAACTGAACCAACATTCTTTTTGGTTTCTTAAGCTGATTACTTCAGATAATTTATATTTATTTTTTAGTTTATAAATCAGTTTAAACTAAAATATTAAAAATATTAAAATGATAAGAATATAAAAATAATGAAAATACATAATAAAAACATTTATACTTCATTTTTTTCTGGCATGTTTTTCTAAAGATTTTAAGGATAGGAAAAGTAACTAAAAAGAAGAAATAAATTAAATGTGAGAATCTTTTATATTTTTTAAAAAAAAGTAAATAATATAATTATGGAGTTTGCTATTTATCACCGCCGGTGATCATCACCGGTGTTTTCAAATTTGGTAATTCCGGTAATTCCGGCCAAAATTTAAGTGATCGACAAACTAATTTCCATTTTTGGAATCTTGTGTAACCAAAATTTCAATTTCGGAGAGAAATAAAATTGCCTTTTTTGGATTGTGTAACGTTACATAAGATTCCATAAAAGGATATTCCGACCAGCGTTAAAGATTTGGCCAAAATTAAGGACGTGACGACTAACATGTGACGAATAGACTTTCACACCTCGAAAAAATTCTAAGTCCCTGAAATAAATAGTAAAAATTGAAAACTGGGGGATGTGACACGGTGGGATGAATTATTATATATAAAGTCACGTGATTACCGGTGATGATCACCGGCGGTGATACGTAGCAATTTTATATAATTATATAGTCATATACTTATGTTAAGCAGTATCAATAAAAATTCACAAGAATTTTTCTTAAAATTAGAATTTAATTTTTTTAATTACTTTTTGAATCTAAAAAATAAGCAGTATCAACAAAAATCCTTAAGAATTTTTCTTAAAATCAGAATCTCAATTTATTTGTCATCTTTTGAACTTAAAAAATAAGCAATATCAACAAAAATTTGTAAGAATTTTTCTTAAAATCAGGATTTAATTTTTTTAATTACTTTTTGAACTTTAAAAAATAAGCAGTATCAATAAAAATCCTCAAGAATTTTTCTTAAAATCAGAATTTTATTATTAATTATTCTTTAAATGTTAAAAAATAAGCAGTATTAACAAAAATTCTCAAAGATTTTTGTTAAAATCAGAATTTAATTTTTTTAATTATTTTTTAAACCTTAAAAAATAAGCAGTATTGAAAAAATCCTTAAGGATTTTTTTAAATTCGTATAATAAACTTTGCATAATTATAATTAAAATAAACATTATAATTATATACTATTTATCAATATTTAATATTTTCCTAATTAGTATTATCAAATGCATTTTCTTTATTAATTATAAAGTATTTATTGCTTATTTTTGCAAATCCTACACAATGATTTATACATCTTACATCAATAAATTCTTTTGATCTGTATTAAGTAAAATATTTACATTCATATTTATCTTTTATTACTTTTGATATTAATTGTATATAGGCTAGCATATAAATATGATTGTTAAATTTATATACAAAATAATAATTAATTATATTATATATACAGTTATCCCCCTTATAGACACCCTTCTGTTTAGTTATATCTTCCTTATAAGTACATTTATGCTTGACCCAAGTTACTAATAATATTATTAAAAAAACCTTCTTTATAGTCACATCATATAGGTTTTTTATAATCACATCTTTTTTTTCAGTCTCGAGAGGTGTAATTATATAGAAAGACAATTGTATCTACAATGATAAGTCTGGATGATGTATTTGGTTTATAAGCAACTTTATCTATTATATGTTTTATTTAAATACTTAAATACAATAATTATTTCTTGTGATATTATTTTTTCTTTTTATCCAACCACTACTAATATATTGCCTACCTAATGTTCTTAATCTTCCATATTTTATACCATAATTATTATTTTTTTTTAAGATAAGTTAAACGTATTTATTGTATATGATGTCAAATGACGAATACATTCTATAAATTATGTATACATCCTCTAAACAGAAAAATGTAACTTGCTGTACCAGATTATCAGTTTGTAAAGATGGAAATTGAAAACAAATTTCCCTTAACACAAGTGGCCCTTACACTCTACCTCAAACCTACCAACTCTGTACCAATATAATTATCTAGATTAATACTATCTACTTGTCTATCTATCCTATTTTGATCTACTAAATTACAATTCATATTACTATTACTATGACTACCATTTAAATTGCAACTACTATTACCCATCAAATCCTTCCCAAGGCCCACGAACTGCAGTAACTCTTGGCTATGCATACTTTGGATCTTATCTGCCAAATGATGTATCTTTTTGAAGAAAAACTCTTTGTGAGCAATTCCTTTGTGAACGAAATCCTAGACCGCTTGAAAACCTATCATAGCAGCTTGTTGGATCCTAGTCACTTTATCCAGAATTGGATGCTTGAACTCGTTATAAGGTGTGTTATTTTGGTAATATGCTATTTTCTTGTCATAAGAGAGATTGTTGGTAAGAGATGCACATGGAATACATGGATTGGATAAAGAATTCCTGTTGGATTCCCATTCTTTAACTACTATATATCGTGGTATCCAAAGGTGATCGTAAAAGTTCTTGATAAATACTGAAATAAATCTATCCATAATTTGAAATGAAATGTTAAGTGAATGTGTAATTTGAGTAAAAGAGTCATGTGTGGATAATCTGACAATTGAACGTAAAAGATAGTA